TGATAGGGGGAGAAATCCATATACTTGTTTTATACTCACCCATGCTTATATGTAGGGGGAGCTTTCACTCTCTTCATTCTTGGTGTTTTCCCCTTTTTGATGTTGTCAAAGGGGGAGAAATATTGTGAGTATAGCCTTTCTTGTTTATATGCATGATAATTATAAATTACAATATTAATTTCCTTTCAAGCATATATCTTTTTGTTAAGTGTTTGTCATCATCTTAAAGGGGGAGATTGTTGACCTTCTTGTTTTGATGATGATTTACAAATAATTTACTTCTAATGTTGTTTGTCTAGTGTTTGTGTTTTTGTATCAATTGTAGACAAATAACATATGGAGGATGGATGGAATCGAGCATTCGCGATCATATCCAATGGAGGTTGGCAGAATAGTGGTTGAAGCCTATGCAATTAAAGTTCAAGATCCAAGTTCAAGCTTCATCCGTAAGTTTACCAAGAAGAGCTTATTGAAGATCAAGATCATTGCTTGGGTAAATAGTTCAAGATCAAGATCAAGATCATTGCTTGTTAAGTGTTTGTCATCATCAAAAAGGGGGAGATTGTTGACCTTCTTGTTTTGATGATGATTTACAAATAATTTACTTCTAATGTTGTTTTTCTAGTGTTTGTGTTTTTGTATCAATTGTAGACAAACAACATGTGGAGGATGGATGGAATCGAGCATTCGCGATCATATCCAATGGAGGTTGGCAGAATAGTGGTTGAAGCCTATGCAATTAAAGTTCAAGATCCAAGTTCAAGCTTTATCCGTAAGTTTACCAAGAAGAGCTTATTGAAGATCAAGATCATTTGCTTGTGTAAATAGTTTACTTCTAATATTATGTGGTTGAAGCCTATACACACATACATGTTTTGGTTTTATAGCTTTCAACTTTATATAAATATGAAACATATATACTTGTTTATACACATTTCATATTTATCGATTTTGTTTAGCCATATATATATATGAAACAAATGGATATAACTATATGTATACACGTATTTGTTTCATATCTATACATGCAAATAAATATGATTTCATTTATGGATTAAAGACGTTTATTTAAAAAATTATGTGTTTATGGATTAAAGACTTGTTTACAATATTTTATATCTTTTCCTAAGTCTATTAATCCATTCAAAAGGATTTGCAAACTTGTTTGAAATTGTTTTTGTCAAAATCAAGTATTGATGATTTGGTATTCTTAAATAGTTTACAAAATAATTTATATTTAACAAATGGGAAAAGTAATTTTAAAAATTCTTTTTGTAACATGTTCTATTACATGTTTATAATCATTTACCAAAATGTTATTATTTTTGGAGCTGATTTACTATACTGAATTGATTTTACAAAATCAAGTATTTTAGCAGTTTTTAGAATCTGGAATATCTGTTTTAAAACATTTATTTCTCACAAATAGGAAGCGATATTTCAAAAATTATTTCCCTAACATGTTTATGTACATGTATAGAAATATCCTACAAAATTTTATGATTTTTAGAGTTGATTTACTATTTTTAATTGATTTTATAAAGTTAGATACGCAAATTTCCAGAATGCTGGATTTTGGGGTATTTTGGACATTTCAGCCTATAACGGCTAGTAACGGCTAGTTTTTGATATTTTCGGTTTTTAGGGGTTTGTGGCTGGTTTAAGAAGCTATAAAAAGCCCTCAACTTTCATTGTTTCTTATGGATGTTTAAGAGAGTTTTAAAATAAGTTTTAAAGGTTTGTGAGAGTTTGTTTCAAGTTTTGAAGATTGTTTTAGTTTATGCAAAAAGAGGTTTACAAGAGGAGGAGATCATTTGTTTGGTGTTTGGGCTTCAATATCATTCTCTCTCGCTCTTGATTCTTAGAGAAGTTTTTCTAAACTTATCTTCTAGCTTATTTATATTTTGATTCATACATATTTGTGCTAGATTGATTTAAGTTTAATTGTTGTTATCTCTCATTGATTACACACACCCACTTGAGCCTAAGTATTTTCATACATAGTATATACAGGATTATGAGATTATATTCTTTGAGAGTGAGCTTACATAGAGTTCTCATCCATTGTAGAGAATAAATCTTGTTGTTGAGCTTAATTGTAAGATACATTTTGTAATACACTTGTACACCGAGAGGAGTGTGTGGTGAGAGACGGGGTCGTCCCAAAAGGAGTAGGGTAGGTGGTAATGCCTAGAGGTAGGTTGTAATTCCAAACACTTGAGGAAGACACGGGCTAGAGACCAACACTTGAGAGGGTGTAAAGTGTGATTGTAAGAGTGTTGATTGTAAAGTTTTCGGTGAAGTAGAAACCGAGTGTGAGGTGTAAACGTTATTCGGGTGAGCGTAGAAAACCCGGTTGTGATAGTAGAGATCTCCTCGAGGTGAGGAGCGGGGACGTAGGTCATGGGGACCAAACCTCGTGACATATCGTTTGTTTTTTATTGCATTGGCACACTTATTTTTTGTGTTTATCATTATATCACCATTGTCAATTGCTCATTGTTTATATTACCCACTATCTTATTAATCTTGTTTATGATTATTTTACCCTTGTGTTAGTTTATATATCCTTGCATATATTTCACCATATACCTCTTTGCTAGTATATACATCTCTTTGTCATATCACTTATCCTTGCATATATCTTGTTGTATATCATACTTGCAAGGATAATTTATAAATAAGTTTTAATTGGCATAAAATCAGATTAGATTAGCATAAGACCCTAATCACCCCCCTAGGGTCTAACAAATAGTACACATACGTATGAATAGTTTCATACTTGTGAATAGTACCATATGAATAGTAAAGTAGTTATAAATAGTAACTTCTTATACGAATAGTAACAGTACTTACGAATAGTAATAGTACTTATGAACAGTACTCGTACATATGAATAGTAGCCGTACTTAAGAACAGTATCATATATATGAAGTAACAATATTTATGAATAGTATCCTCATACTTATGAATAGTATTGTATATATGAATAGTAACAATATTTCTGAATAGTAAGCGTACTTATGAATAGTACTGTATGTATGATTAGTAATAGTACTTATGAATATACTCGTACATATGAATAGTAATGTATTGATGAATAGTACACATACATATGAATAGTAACCGTACGTATGAATAGTGCACGACCTTATTAATAGTAACAGTACTTATGAATAGTATATGTACGTATGAACAGTAATCCGGCGCTGGACAAATACGTATAGTTCTAGCTACCAATATCATGTCTTTAGAAATTTGGTCTTATATTCTATTCATCAATTTTCATCAATATCATGTTTTTTCTTTATTTTTGGGATTTGATCTAAAATTCATCAACTTTTATCAAGATAAAAACTAATTAGGGATGAGTTTAAAAAAAGATGAACTTGTCTTTATTGATATCTAAAATTAGAATCCTTATGTGTTCCTACTTTTCGAATTGCCAAAATCCCCTTCTTCTTTCCTCTTCTACAAGATTACTTAAAGTCAAAAAAGTCATTGAAGAGTAAGCAAAAGGTCCGATATATGCAAGTTGAGGACGAAGCTAATAAATTACCTAGAGGATGGACTAAATTTAGTATATTCTTTCAGCTACCTTACTGGCAAAATCTTAAAATCCAACATAACTTAGATGTCATGCATATTGAGAAAAATATATGTCATAACATAGTATCAACTCTCCTACAAGATGCAAACAAGTCGAAGGATGACCTATGGGCGTGCCAAGATCTGAATGCTTTGAATATCCGAAATGATTTGCAAGCTCAAGATGTTGTCCTTAAAAAATTAAAGTTGCATCATTCTCGTGTTACAATGTTAAATGAGTAGATGCAATGATTTTGTAAAATTCTCAAATCGGTAAAGTTGTCGGATGGGTATTCTGCTAACATTTTAAATAATGTCCAGGTGCAAGAGAGAAAACTCTTACGTCTAAAGACCATGATTATCACTTTCGTCTCCATCAATTACTCCCTATTGCAATCCGTAACAATATACAGAAAGAAGCATCGAAGATTATTATTGAGTATTGTAGATTCTTCAGAAAATTATGCTCTAAAGTTATAGATATAGATGAATTTAAAAAACTTGAAGCCGAGGTCCAAGTTACTCTATGCAATATGGAAATAATATTCCCTCCTTCATTTTTTAAAATTATGGTCCATCATACCCAACATCTTGCAAGAGAGGCTAGAATCGCCGATCCTGTTACTTATCATTGGATGTATCCGATTGAAAGATAATTTATGGTTTTTGTTATATTCATTAATTGTATATGCGTTATTAAAATTACCGTGCTAATAATTAACTCTTCTTATGATTCTACGATACTTGGGCTCCATGAAACACAATGTTCGCAATCAAGCTCGTCCCGAGGGCTCAATAGCTAAAGGATACGTGGCTAACGAATGCTTTCTGTTTACATCACGTTATATTTGTAAGAAGAAGACCACATCTCAAGCACTTGATAAGGAGAGGAAGCGTGAAAAATATCCGAGATCTCTCTTAGATTAAATTCATGCATGTGTTGGAAAACCTTGATATGCTCGCAGATTATCGAAGGCAACAAATAAAATTAGTAATATAGATGAGAAATATTCATTTTACATATAGTTTACCAATACAAACTTCTATATTGTTTATATTTGCGGCATCTGGAGAAGCTTAAGAATGAAACAACCGGTAGGAATGCAGCGTATAATATTCAGAAAAGACATAAGAAAGAATTTTCTGATTGGTTAAGAATGTATGTAAGTGTTTTATAATTAATTATTGAACATTCAAAATATAACATCACCTAAATATTCTCAAATTGTTTGGTTTAGGTTTAAAATCACTTCTTGATGATACTACGTTTCCATATGAAATTATTATCCATGCACAACGCTCTTATCATGAAGTGAGATATTATAATGAGCATATGGTCAATGGATATAAATTTCGAACGCTAGAGACCGATGATAGGAGGGTAACTCAGAATAGTGGGGTCATGGGTTTATTTGTTCAAGAATGTTTTTCAAGTATAAGAGATCAGAACCCAATTCTAGCTAACATACTATATTATGGTCAATTAGAAGATATTGTTAGGGTAATTTACGGGTTTGGTAATACAAAACAATGTAGTTATACGATGTTTAAGGTTCGGTGGTGTCCTGCAAAAAAACAAAAGGATCATTATGGATTTATACAAGTCAATCTCCACCGAGAAGTATATACAGATGAGAAATTCATTTCCGCAGAACAAGCTGATTAGTGTTTCTTTGTGAAAGATACAAATGTTATGTTTGATTAGGTGGTTTTGTACAAGGAGCCAAGATCTGTTGTTCTTCCTAATAACAAAGAAAAAATATTGAAGAAAGTGAAGATAATTATAGTGAACCAATTGGGTCATCTGATGACGTTTGGTAAGAATTCTCTTACACACAGAATGTGGCGCTAGATATAGGTATGAACTATATATGTTACACTGCATTACTAATTTTTAGCTTATCATAATAAAAACAATAATGCATTTCATAATAACATATCTCATGAGCATGTATACAATTTTTTCTTAACTATGTTAATAATTGAATTTGGAGATGAGGAGGGCGAGGAGGCTCTTTGGCCCGGAGGATGATCGATCACGGAGTATAACCCCTAGTACTGGTGCTGATGATACACTACCATCTCCGGATGCAGGTATAAAAATTAATTAATATTTTAATATATTTTATAAATTATTAGTTATCTATGTCATAGTGTTCATTTGTTACAGATGTGGGTTATTCATCTCCCAGCCCCTCTGATGTAGCATCAGAACCATCCCCCGACACAGGTATTCAATATTTAATAATTGATAATGATCAATTAAAATTTTATATTAATGATTCTCCTTTCTTATGTAGGTTCTTCTTGGACCCTGATATATACATTCCATACTGACTGGTGACCGAAGACATAGGGCTGTCTCAGTTTACCCTTACCTCCGGACTCTTAGAAGTCCATGGCAGACTCAAGGAAGTACCGCCCACGTGCTGCGTGAAAGTTAGAGGAAATGCTTCCTATGTTGGAGACTAGGAAAGCTGTTGCACCGCAGTAAAAGAAAGAGAGGTAGCGAATGGTAAATTGTATAAATACATTTATTTTTCACATTTATATATTATATGATATATTATCATGTTATTACTATAGGTGCTAAGCCAGATCGCATAGAGAACAGACATGGTGGAGGTAAGCCTAAATCTAAATAACCGCCAAGAGGAATGAGGGTGATAATTCAGTGGAATAGTTCTATTTTACCCGTTGGTCCTTGGTCGACCCGATTGAATGCATATATCGGGGTTCTCATGTGTAAAGTGAACATTATCAACCCTTATTTTCATTTTCGAGAACTACTATGGACCGCATACGAGGCGGTATGGACTAAGCTTATGGTAACTACATATTGCTTTAGCTTTTCATTTATTAATAATTAGTAATTGATATTAAATTATCCTTACTAGTATGTAAATCTACAAGACTGATTCTACCTTGAGGACTTTGAGGGGGCTTGGAATTATGTGTTAAATGTCAAGGTTGAAGTAGTCCTCAAACAATAGAGGCATGAGATCAAACATGAAACCTATGACAGGTATGAGGAGGTATAAAGCTTTAAATGATCTTAATGCTTAGTATGATTATGAAATCTCATAATTTATAATATGAAAGGGAAAGTCATTAATACTGATACACTTGAGGGTAAAAGCGGCATATGGTACTTTCCGTGATAGATATAGGGATGATGAGACGAATCGTAATAAGATCAAGGCAAATCCCAAGTTGGTGGGGAGGCTTATACATATCTTGAGTAGTATTATTAACTCTATTTCGTTGTTAATATTACGAGGAAACAAGAACACAAATAATATGGTCTTTACCTTGAATTAGCTATATATTTGTGCTTTAGGAGGGATTTGACGCTACATCCAAGGAGGTTGCATCTGTGTACATTTAGCAGGAGGAGGAACAAACCAAGCCGGGCCCTCACATGCTTTCTGTAGAGGAGAACATCACTCTCACACTGAACCTGATGGGTCATAATAGGTATGGATGATAAAAAATTGAATCAATTTAAATACTACGTTCCTATTTATATTTGTTTAATATTATTGAATTCTAGAGCAAAGTTTAATATTTATTTCTCCCTAATAATAGGAGAGGAAGATATCCTCTACATGGTGTTGGAGCTTCACTCGGCATAAGCATGAGATCATCCACAACATCCTCCACGCCATCTACATCAATGAGAACAGCCCCAAGTAGTTTCTAGGCTAAACCATTTGTCGCACAAATCTCCTACGTATTTGATTGACAAGATTGACCCGGAGCTGCATATTCAGGTGACTAATGAGATGACTAGAGTTGCGCTGACGACGAACTTGATGGATGATCTCATGGGGTATGTTATACAATATTTAGGTGGTGTGATTCCTTATAGCGTGTATGGTGGTATCATACGGATCATATGCTCGATTAACGATAATTCTGGCACAAGGCAGAGCAGCGCTCAGGTACCTTATTTATTCTTATATTTATAAATTCATTTTTATTTAATATGTTATCAAACATCACATAATGATTATTCAATTGAACATTCAGAGTAGAGATATTAGAGGGAGCAGCACCCGTTCTCGTAACCGGGATAGCCGTCGACGAAGATAGCTGAGGTTTTTTTTATTTTTAATGCAATAAACAGTTTTATTTGTTATAACACTATATTTTATTCATGTCGTGTATCCTATCTTATTCTTGTACATTGTAAGTATATATATTGTTAGATGTATATATTAGACAGAATTGGTTGATGTATATTTTGGATTGGATGGTTTGATATTATTATATTTGATTTTGATTGGAATTGTTATGAATTTTGATTATATTTGGATGGTTGGATATATTCATGTGTATAGTAGTTATTAGATGTATTCATGTATTAATGTAATTGTACAGGAAAATACAAATTGTAAATAATTTTTTTTGCTAAAAAATATCATCCTAAACGAAATTCCGTCTAGGCTGAATAAACCTAGACGGAATTCCGTCTAGGTTGCTATAATCAACCCAGACGAACATTCGTCTAGGTTGGCAACCTAGACGGATTTCCGTCTAGGTTAATTTATTCCAACCTAGGCAGCCTAGACAAAAATCCGTCTAGGTTGGCAACCTAGACGGAAATCTGTCTACATTGCC